CAGAAAAAAAACCCCACTAATTTCTTATACTAAAATGTAAGAAGTTGTTAATCATCCTACTATAGTTTTATTTTTTTCTTCAGGTTTCTAATTACAGGGACTGAATAACAGTTCTTCTAAAAGAACAAGTCACCAAATTAAGGTGATTTAAAGAAAAATTTAAAGATAATCTGGAGAATCATTTATAACATTAATAAATTTGCTGTTAAAATACACAAATATTGATTGAACACATTAAAAGATAAACAGGACTTGTTTTCCCTGGTAAATTCTTATAATCCAATGTGCAAGAAAAAATATTACAGTTTGACTGTAAGAACTATGCCTTATTTAACTATCCCCAGAGCCTAGCCATAAGGTGCTGACATACAATAGAGTGTGTTCAATATTTTCTGACTGAGTACAGAAAAGGTAAAATAGAAAACCATACTATAAGAGCTGCAAGAAAGGAACAAATTATTGTGAAAGTTAAAAGGAAGAAAGGAGTTCATCCAGTAGGAGGTAGAAGTGAGGGAGGGGATTAAGAAAAGGGACCAAGAAACGAGACAGCGTATGAAACAGATTTTGAAGACTAGGTTGGAGTTTCATAAGTGGGGATAAGAATGAGAAGGAGAACAGTATTAATGAGATTGTAGAGGGAGGAAGGTGTATAGCAGGTTTGGAATGTCAGGACAGAAAGTAGAGTTGGAATATAGTAAGATAAGCTTGTTAGTGCTTTTGTGATAAGTCAGTGCCTATCTTGTGAAGAACTCTGAATTATCAGTTGAGGAATTTGTCTATTAGACCTTTGAAGGTAGCGTATTTTGGCACTTATACAAATGTCAGAGTATTGAGGCAGTATACATAATGGTTTAGACTAGAGGTCACCTAACATTTTCTGTAAAGGGCCAAGTAGTAATTATTTTTAGGCTCTGGGAGCCATATAGTCTCTATTACAACTACTTTTCTACCATTGTAGCCAAAAAGCAGTCATAGACCATATATAAATGAATAAACATAACTGTTCAAATAAAAGTTGTTCACCTCCTTGTAGGTATGTGACCTTGTTACTTAATGTCTCCAAACCTCAGTTTCCTTAAAAAATTAAATGGTGGTAACAACTGTTCCTGCTTTATAGAGTTGTAATGAGGACTAAATGAGAATGAATGAAAAGTACTTAGCATAGTGCCTAGCTCATGATTTAGTGTTTGTTACTTTCTGTGGTGATAATACTTATTACCCAAGTCTCAAAATATAATTAGAGTGCATTAAATATGTTTCGTAAGGGTGGGTGTGATGGCTCACGTCTGTAATCCCAGCACTTTGGGAGGCCAAGGCGAGTGGATCACCTGAGGTCAGGAGTTTGAGACCAGACTGGCCAACACATGGCAAAACCCTGTCTCTACTAAAAAAAAAAAAAAAAAAAAAAAAAAGTTAGCTGGCATGGTGGTACACACCTATAGTCCCAGCTACTCAGGAAGCTTAGGCAGGAGAATCACTTGAACTCAGGAGGTGGAGGTTGCAGTGAGCCCAGATTGTGCCACTGCACTCCAGCCTGGGTGACAGAATGAGACTTCATCTCAAAAACAAAAAAAAAAAAACTTCTAGAAAGCAACTAAATCTGAAAATCTTACTTACCTTATTATATTGATTTTCCATAATCGTTGATGTCAAGGGAAACTATGCTTATGACTTCTCTTTTTATTTGACATTTAAAAGGGAAATAAAAAAACTAAGAAGGAGATGAAAGGTAGGCTAATTATTTTCAAAATAGTCCCTGAATTGATGTATAAATAATCAACTGTGTATCAAATACAATTGCTATTTGATCTGTATATCAATTATCAAATATAATTTCATAACTGTATTGCCTCAAAAGCTAATATACTTTTAGGCTGCATTAATATCAAATAGCATTTGATAAGTGATACAAATCATCTTTTGTGTAGGTATGTGGCAGTTTTACCCTATCTATTTCTAGATACTACTGAAAGGCAAGCATTAATGCCTATAATTGTATAACCTTTGTAACAATTTACTATTAACATGGAATCAGGTGTATTAGCAAAAATTCATTTTCCTGTATAGAGCATATGAGTAAGGTACTGGGCTAGACAGGAAAGAGATAAAGATGTATATGAAATGGCTTATGGGCTTTAACCTCCTTAAGTCTATAGTTTTCGAGCATTACCCAATCCAACTTCTCATTTTAAAGATGAAGAAACAAGCTTATCAAAGGCTAATTGTAATGAACTTGTTCCAGTTCTCCTGTGAGGTAGACAACTGTGGAATGAGAATCTTAGTTACCAGGCTCTTAATCCAGTAGTCTTTATATATTAGTGCTTCTGAACATTTTTTTTTTAAATGCCTTATCAGAACATTGGTTCACTCAACCTTTAATAGCACTAGCTCACAACAAATAACTTTAGTTGTGGGGATAGGCAGGATCCATTTGTATGTCCTTCACTACTATTTACAACCCAAGAGGGGCAAATCAGAATGAAGGGGGAGATGCTGTGGATTTTGGAAAAGATCCCCCACCTCCACTTCTATAATGCTGCAATGGTGTTTATGTAGGTCTTGCTTCCACTATAGCTGAAGAAACAAGATTTATCTATTTAAAGACATAGTATGTTAAATGTTAAATAAATGAGGCAGATCGTAAGTACTACAGTGAAATCAAGAGTGGAATAATCATTGAGGACTTCCCCAAGAGATAAGAATGATTTAAAATTCTTGAGTAGAGAAATATATTTCATTTAATTAATTTATTATTTTTTGAGACTATGTCTCTATTGCCCAGGCTGGAGCACAGTGGCATGATCTCAGCTCACTGCAACCTCCACCTTCTGAATTGAAGTAATTCTTCTGTCTCAGCCTCCCAAGTAGCTGGAACTACAGGCATGTACCACCACATCCAGCTAACTTTTGTATTTTTAGTAGAGACAGGATTTCACCATGTTGGCCAGGCTGGTCTCAAACTCCTGACCACAGGAGATCCACTTGCCTCAGCCTTCGAAAGTGCTGGGATTACAGGCATGAGCCACTACAGGCCTAACCCAAGAAATATATTTTAGAAAGTCATTTATTCCACCAGATACTGAGTGTCCATTATATGTCAGCTTTTGTGCTAAGTGCTAGGCACAAAGCAGTGACCAAGACAGGACACAGTTCCTGCTATTTTATAGGTTAAAATTCCTGATTCATCATTAGCCTACAATTTTATGTCACTAACCACTAGGCTTTTTAAAGTTACACTTTCTATTGACTTTGATAATGTTCCTCAATTTTCTTTCCCAGGGAGGTAGAAGTCAGATGAGAAGGGCACTTGATTTTAATCGGAACAGTGGCGAGTTCACACCTGCAATTTATATGGCAACTGTAGTCATGCAGTCCTTGTGACCACTTAAAGACTAACCAGAGATTTAACAATTTAATTAGATTTTCTGTTATTAAACTCATGTCACAGACCTCAAATGAATAATTTTCAAGGTGTCAGACATGAAATATGGTAGGCTGAAAAGATAAAAAACATTAATGGAATGGTTTTTCATAACCATGTTATAGTTTAAAAAGAGCAATGTTATTTGAAGTCAAAATAATATTTTAAAAGACCACTTTTGAAAACAATTATGTAATTAAGAAATTTAGAACTTGCCAAGAAAGTGTTAATAAGAAACTGCATTTTTTTAGAAATTTTAAAAAGTCTATTAATAACATAATAGGATATACTTATATATTATTATATACATACTATTTGTCAGACCTTAGTCTAAGAACTTTTATTAACTCATTTAATCCTCACAGTAATTCTCACTGCACATATGAGGAAACAGAAGTATAAAGTCATACAGATAGTGACTCAACACAGATTCAAAGGCAGATGATAGTTTGGCTTCAGACTTTTAATCATAAGCGATATAATATTTAGTGGAAATGCAAAGCAAATATGTTAAGATTATAACCTTTATAGGACTTTCACATGTATATGTCACATATTTTAGACAACACTAATAATCGCTTTTTATATGCTGCCTTATAGTAACAATGCACTTAAACAGATAAATTCAACTTGACAAACTAGAATAACAGAATATATTAGGTACAAATGTACAGTGGTGCATTTGAATTTAAGGAAGACAAACAGCAGAAATACTGGCTGGAGGGAGGTGAAGGTCAGAACTAATAGTTATTATGTATCAGCTATCACCCACTTCATGTGGTACGCACCCTTATTTCAACTAAAAAACATTATAAAATTAATCCAAAATCATATAGCTTCAAAGTGGCATAACCAAGATTAGAATCCAGGGGTCTGACTACAAAAATTCCTTTCGCTCTATGTTGGGTTAACAGCAGACAATAAGGAAAAAAGAAGACATTTTGCATTTTTGTTGATAGCAAGATTAACGTAAAACAATGATGTCAGGTGGCTGCCCCAAAAGCTAATATATACTCTTAGGCTGCATTAGTATTATTATACAGTTGAGATTAGGCTTGGTATTAGAAAAGTAGCAAATGTAGGCATTTAGGCCAAAGGAAAATTTTACAAGGAATATGACAGTAGTAACTATTTTCAAATAAACGAAGTATTATTAAATAGATTAATAGACTAGATTTTGGCTCGAAGAAAGAACGAACTTAACTGTACACAGAGGTGCCAAAACTGGAATAGGCTGCCATATATGTTCAACTGAAGTTTAACCAAATGTTAGTAATTTTATAGAGGAATTCATAAACAAGGTAGGTGTTAAGACATGTAGTTTCATTCCCTGTCCATATTTCACATTATAGCAGTTTGTCTTTTACATGTTATATGAATATTCCAATTTAGGTTTTTTTTGGGAGGTGGGTGTTCTGATAGAGTTAAAAAGTCTGAAACTACTGGATTAGATACATTAAACATTAGATACATTGAAACCACTGGATTTCAACTCAAATTCTGTATCCCTGAATGGTTTTGATTAAGGTTAAGAACATAGAATCACATCTTGACTTTGTCAAAAACAGACCCAACATACCATTTTTTTCTGCAAAGAAAATTGCATCTTCTTTAGTACGGAAGGTTAGAACCATGTTGGATAAGGGATCAGCCCTGTAAGAAACGATAATTTTTCCAGATTTAACATTAAGCTTTGGCAGAGGGAAAAAAAAATCAATATTTAAAATAAACAGCTACTATAAAATGAAATGAGTAACTACTGATAGAATATTTTATTTGTAATAATCTCTCTAACAGTTTGAATACCTTTTCCTGTGTTAAATTTGGAAGATTTCTAACATGTATTGTCAAATGATAAAATTTGTCATTGCAAAGGCATTCAGTTAGTCTTTAATAAAATCATTTTATTCAAATCTAAAATACTAATTTGAGATGAATTAAAAAACCCAAGAGGATTCTTAAATGGAGTATAAAATTTACTAGCAAGATTATTGATGTGTAAAATTGCTAGTACTACCATTACCTAAGAAACCAAATGGCACCACCACCCATTCTTGTTTTTTTAAAATTAACTTCCTCTGAGTCTCCTTTTTGGAGATCACCCACTCTTAACGAAACTTCCATCATTAACAATATTCTTTTAAAACATAAAGCTCTAAGATCTGACATACAATTGAATTCTTCCATGTAGGATAGCGTTAATGTTTACAAATCTACACAGGCTCTTTGGAAAATCCAACTTCAAAAAATGTCACTTTGTTTTTTTCCCCTTTTTAGATGGAGTCTCATTCTGTCGCCCAGGCTTGAGTGCAGTAGTGTGATCCCTGCTAACTGCAACCCCCGCCTCCCAGGTTCAAGCAATTCTTGTGCCTCCAGAGTAGCTGGGACTAGAGGTGCACACTACCACACCCATCTAATTTTTGTATTTTTAATAGAGGTGGGGTTTCACCATGTAGGCCAGGCTGGTCTTGACCTCATGACCTCAAATGATTCAGCTGCCTTGGCCTCCCAAAGCGCTGGGATTACAGGCATGAGCCACTGTGCCCAGACTATTTTTCTTCTTATAACAAGACAGAACACTGTTTGCTACAAATGTTTAGTGTGACTCTCTCAGAAGTGAATACAGCATTCTATGAAATATTGTTTAGAAATGTGGAAGTAAAAAATATAGAAAGGAGGATTCAAAAAGTTCAAAATTTGGATAGTGGAAAGATATAAGATATAGAAAGAAGAGAAAACATGGGGAGTATCTCTTATTGACCGGAAGACCCACAAATTACTCCTGCTGAAGTTCTGGTCACAGACCATGGTTGCTATTCTGAGATTTCTATAATTATACAATCTTATAACCCACCTACCCTCTATAAGCAAAAGAACTTCATGTGACTGACTATATTAGTACTAATAACATCATAATTTTATATTGGTTCCTCCTTTTCAAAGCATACACAATTTTTCAGTTGATAGTTAAAGTATTTATACTGAGAACAGAAGTGTCAACATAAATACAATTTAGTAATCTGATGAGTGTTCACAGGCACATTGGCTTAGTTGAGAATAAGAAGACAGAAAAAATGGTAGGAAAACTTAGGAGCCAGGAGACCAGAGCTCTGTTTCCTGCAAAGGTGGTATAGCCTTTATTATTAACCTCACTTTATTTATGAATATATACATATAGAAATCAAATAGTAACAACTTAACATCCATTGTATCTCATAGAAACAACATTCATCCACTGGAAGAAGCCACTGTTCTTCCAGCCATTCAGTTTCTACCCTTATTCTCCTTCAGTTCCTGTGTTTTGTAGTTCTTTTCTAGGTTGCTGCCACCACCAGTTTAAGGCCTTTTAATTCTTCCCATAGCCCCATTCTAACTAATCTTTCTGCCTCCTTGACTCCAATCCATCCTTCACCAAGATTAGTCTTCCTTAAGTTAATCCCAAACTTACTGCCCAGTTCAAAACTTTCAAACAGTTTTCACTGTATCACATTAACCTCAGTCTTCTACCCTGGCATTTAAGCACTTCTATAATATGGACAGAACTATTTTCTAGCCTTCTTTTTAATTACTCCCCTGAGAAGTAACCAACTAGTTAAATCACGTTGCTAATTGTTTTTTATAAATGCAGAATGTACTTTCTCATCAGTTCACTTTGTTTCTTCCTCTTGAAATATTCTCCTAGTGTCTGCATATGAAGTCCATCCAAACAATCCCTCATGGTTCACTCTCATACCAATCTATTCCATGAAGTCTTTCATATCCTACCCTCCTTCAACTATACACAATCTCTCTTTCAACCTCCACTAAATATAATTTGTGCTTTTATTTTTCGACTCTATTTGCTCAGTTCTCAATTAGTGAAGTTCCAATTTGGGTAATGGCAGAATAGTATATCAGATTCATCTGCCTAACTATAAACTCTGGACAAAGCAGAAAAATAATTTTCAGAGACTGACTACTAAGCAGGAAAGAAACCTAGAGAATTCAATATCTTTGAAAAAAAAAAGGGAATCACAATGGATTAGATCCAACTTTATACAGTGTTTCCCCTAAAGGTATTGTCTAGGCTAGACAAGCTAGGAACATTGAGAACTCAAGCAAAAAGCGGTAATCTTAGTGGAAAGAGCCTGGAGATGGATCCAGGATTGCCAGAGCAGCTGGAAAAGAGTAATTCACAGAGCTAAGAGCTTTTGAACTGTACATGACAGAGCAAGGCTTCAAAATGATAACTAGGAAGGATGAAAAGAGCTGAGCAAAGATTTCAGTAGCGGCCTGCTACAGTGGAGACTGAGTGTAAAGGGAGAATATGGTAAACACCTTGTGCTTTCCATCAAAACTTCAGAAAGGCTATGCCTTTTTTTTTAACACTAGGTTCCAAGACTACTAAGGGTAAAACTGAAACAGATCCACTCCAACAATGCATATTCCTCCACAAGTTCGAGGAGATCTGTCCATCAGTAATTTGTCTGTTCGAACAAAACTTATCAAGATGCTACTGTCATTAACTTGAAAAGCATAAAGGATCAGATAATTAATCGATTATTGTTATTTTATATAAATTGTTTGAATATTAACTAGTGACTGTGTCAGGGGTTAATTAGCATATTAGAAAGCCACATATCCACTAAAAGATATATACAAGATTCTTCATTTTAGTACTATATTATACATAATAATCCAAACAGAAATTTATACAAATAAGCAAAAAAGCCAGTCACAAAAGAGCACATAAAGGATGATTCTCTTTAATTACATAAAAGAAGAAAGGCAAAACTATGTTTCTAGAAATGAGAACAGTGGTTACATCTGGAAGGCTGAAATCAGAAAAAAGCATGCGATAAAATGGGAACTTCTGAGGTACTGGAAATGCTATTTCCCAATCTGGGTATTTGTCATATGTGTGTGTTCAGGCTGTAAAAATTCATGAAGCTGTATGCTTCTGATCTGTATACTTAATGTATATTTTGATAAAGTTTTAAAAGCAATATTAAGCCTGGCAAAATAATACATTGTATCTGTTCATAGTTTCAAGATTAATCCCCCCACCACCACCCCTGGCCCCAAGACAGAGTCTCACACTGTTACCCGGATGGAGTGCAGTGGCACGATCTTGGCTCACCATAACCTCTGCCTTCTGGGTTTGAGTGATTCTCCTGCCTCAGCCTCCCGAGTAGCTGGGAATACAGGCGCCCACCACCATGCTCGGCTCATTTTTTGTATTTTTGGTAGAGATGGGTTTTCAGTATGTTGGCCAGGCTGGTCTCAAACTCCTTACCTTGTGATTGGCCCACTTTGGCCTCCCAAAGTGCTAGGATTACAGGCGTGACCCACTGTGCCCAGCCCCAAGGTTGATTTTAGATATTTTTCCTCCAATATCATTTTCATGTACTAGATACTAATGAATATCGGTAAGCCAAAAGATGTCGAAAATTGTTTCATAATTATAATGTCCATTATTGGTTGGCAGATTACTTTTTGTTCTACACCATAAAACAGGCTTTGTGAAGATACCTACCATTTGTGAATTTCAATGATCATTTTCTGCTTATGAGCAAAGTCTATTTAATATTCAGAACAGATGTAAATGTCAATACAACATAAAAATTAGTATTGTAAATATCAACTGACACTTCAACTAAAAGAACTCTTCATGCATAAAAGATATTGGTGAAACATTCTGGCAATGAGAATTTTTATTAGATGCCCTCTGAATGGCACAGAACAGCAAGTGAATGAGTTTCTTCTTGGGAGGCTTAGCTTATTTACTTATTTTTTAGTTTAAGTATCAATAGCAGTTGTAAGTGGCTCTAAATGCTGTTAGTTTGATTAGCACCTCTTAGAAATATCAGGTGGTCATTTTTCTGCAAATAGAATAGACATATATAATAAAGACCATAGAGAAAAAATATATAATACTAAAACCAATATATTAATAAATGCTTTTGTTATTTAAAAATATTTATAAGGTAAGAAATGTCAAATAGCTGGGCAAAGACTAAAATTATATTCTGCTATAGAAGTGTACGTGTGTACACTCCCACCACCCTGCTTCAGGCCAATTCCACTGAGTGAATGCAAAAATGTTAAATACATATTAACAAATCAAGTAATGTACTTTAAAAATAATACATCTATGTCCAATGATAACATATTTAATTGTATCAGAAAATATTTAACTGAAATTCACTACATGTCAACAGACTAAAGAAAATGTCCTTCAATAGCTGTTACAAAAACATTAAATAAAATTCAATACCCATTCTGATTAAAAAAAATTATTAGTAGATCAAGATTAGAAAATAACTTTGTCCACTGTATTATATCAGAAACATTTCTGCTAAAGAAGGAAAGAGGCAATAAGGATGTTGGATATCACCACTAATATTCAACCTTGCAAATTACAGCCAATGCAACAAGGCAAGAAAGAGAAATTGGCCATAAGGAGAAAACAAACTGCTACTATTGTTAGATTATACAACTAAAAAATCAAAGTGAATCCCCTGAAAAACCATGAGAACTAAAGTACATAATGTGGCTTATATGCAAAATCAACTTTAAATATTAGCAGTACTCAACTAGAAAATGTAATGAAGAAACATCATCTGAGATAGTGATAAAACTATCTAGGCCTAATTTTAATAAGAAATATAAAA